TGTTTTAACAAGCATTTCCTTTTTGTATTGAGGATTCTTTGAAGACGTGGTATCTAATAAAATTCCATGGTCTGAGACAATTAGATTGGAAACAGTCATTTGCATTCTCCCATGTTTTCTGGTCCATTGGCTGGGAGACAGTGGGAAGAGGTACACACCCACACATGCATCAGTAGAATTGAAATACACTGATGTCCCTTGCTTGACTGTGAGGATTTTGGTGTGCTGCGCTAGTGGAACATGAATGCCATCTTGTGTGATGGTGAGAGGTCGGTTGCAATTTTGTTTTCCTGGTGACACAATCCAATCTGGAGCTTTCATTGTAAGTGCCTGATGATAATTACTTCTTCTTTCAAGGATCTACCCATGGATGGCGCTCTAAGAATTTATTACAGTGTGGTGATAAGAGCCCTTAGTTCTCACCCTACTCTGATAATAACTCTGAGCTCTCTTTACTTTGCTGTGCTCTTAGGTGCAGACTGCTCATATTAAGCTGTGTAAATAGTATCACGGCATATTATCCTTATAGCACAAAATATAATTGAACTCATTGGGGAAACTGCCCTATTCATTTCAGTGGGACTTTGCTTCACAGAAATAATTGGATCTGGCTACACTAGTTTCAGGAGCAGAAATAAACCTTCCTAATATAGCAAGTGAGGGTGCACTGGTGTGACAATAGCCATTGGAAATATGGCTATTGGACAATATTGTCCAATATTGTCTAATATTGTCATTGGACAATAGCCATTGGAGATTTTAGGTTTTTTTACCAAGAGAAGCTATTATGGAGCCCCAAATGGCTAACAATACCACCATCAATGAGGTGTTTAAAACTGCTTTGCCTAGTGGGAACAAAAACACCTCTCTTTTTTGTTCCTATCTTGAAAATTAAATGCACAGTATTAGCACCATCAATGAGGTGTTTAGAAGTGCCTTCCCTGGTGAGAATGAAAGCATTGCTTCTTTCTTTCTTTTTTCTACCTCTTTTTTTTTTTTTAAATTAACAGCACATTCTTTCTTTCTTTTCTCTTCTACGAACACTTCCTTAATCACCCTACCTACACGCCTATGTGACGCTGTATGGATTCTGGGGGACACTTTGGGATATTATGAGTACCAATATTGTAAAATTGCAATGAGTTATGCCAGATATGTTATTTAAGGTATCTGCAAAAATGTTATAATTTGCCAGGTATGATAATCTTGTTTATGTGTTTGTATCACCTTTGTATTGTAAGTTATATGTATGGTATGTCTGTAGTTCCAAACTTGTGCTGTGCATCTGGATGGCATCCCCAGACAGTTTGGCATCAGCACTGCCTAGCCTGCTTGACTTCCCATCCAGGGACATCAGCTATACAACTGACCCATTGAAAGAAGGCAAGGGATACACCTTATGACTCAGCAAGGCATGCAGGGGCATGCCTATGGCCAGAACTCTAAGGCTGCCTGGCCATATGCTGGGCAGCTTGTGTTTGGAACAAAGGAAATACAAGCTGCATGGCAAAAGACTGAAAAAGGCAGCCGCATCTTCTCCATTTTGTCTTCATTCCTGCTTCCACTGGAGTAACCTTTCTACAGTCGAACCTCTGAACAAAGGACTGAATGACCCATCCAAGCTGTGGATGTGTTCCAGAGGGACTTTCAAGCCAGCAAACTCACCAATACGGATAGGAACCTGATATATGGACTTAGAAATCTTTGTATGTATGTGACTGCTTTACCATTTAACATCTCTCTTCTTGTTCTTTCTTTTTTCTCCATAATAAACCTTTAGTTTTAGACACTAAAGGATTGGCCGGCAGCGTGGTATTTTGAGTAAGATCCAAACCTATACTGACCTGGTAATGTGGCTGACCCTTTGGGGTCAGAAGAACATTTTGTATTATGTGAGCAGAGTTTTTTAAACAGCTTCTCACTGTGTGGGACCTAGGTGCTGATTAGGGACCAGAGAACTGGAATGCAATAAAGGGGGCTGTGTGATTTCTTTTTTGTTTCTTGATAACCAGTATGGGGGATCAGAAGCACAGTTCGTGACTGGTTGGGGAGTTTAACTTCAGCATTATCCACCAGTCTTGGGAGTATCTGCTCTCCCTTTTGCAGCTTGCCTCTGACCTTGGCATTTCCAGTGAGGGCTGCCCCAGGCACACCAGGTCACAAGCTATATAAGGCCCAATTCATCATTACCCTCAGTCACTTTGTACCAAAGAAGAGGCTATGCTCAGTACTTAATTTGTGCCAGGGCTTCCTAGAGCTGAGCCCCAACACCTCTAGGCTTGACAGTTCATAGCCCTGGCACCTCTGGACTTGTCACATCAGTTATGAAAGTAAAAAAATTGTTTGAACCCCACCACAACTTTCATTACAAATTAAGCACTGGCTGTGCTGGTGCAAAGAGACCAGCTACATGCAAAGCCCTTCCCCAGTGACAATTACCAGCACCGGGGGCCTCTGCACTCAATCAATATGAGCCTTCAGCACAGTAGATATTCCTGGAGCATGTCAGAGGTGCAAAAGGCAGTCCTCTTTCCTAGCAGTTACAATGTCTTTGGGGGCCAAGCCAGTCAGTGTGCAATCAGACAAAATGGACAGTAGCTCCAGAATTGGGGAAATACAAGCTGTCTCCCTCCAGTTTAGGCATCAGCCTGGTACCAGAGAATGGATGAATTCCCCCAAATACAGAGTAACAAAGAAGGGATTATAAAGCCATATCTGCGCTACAAGCTTTGGTCAATGCACGTTACATTAGTGTAGAGCCACCAAAGTTTGTATATCGCTCCTGTGCGTACATACTTGGCTGCTTGCGTCCGTGCTGCGCATGCTCACCAGGAGTGTAGTGTTGATGTGAAATGTGGTACACAACAGGTAGGTATCCCAGTGTGTAGCACGCTGCCATCTGGAGTTACGCCTTTTGGAGCTTTTTTGCAATTTGTTATAGGGTAAAAATGACTCACCCAGGGATCTTGGGACCTAAGATCCAAGTTCCCAGCATGAAACTTTCTCTATACCATAATAGCATCCATATCTCATAATTTTTGCACTTTTTTTTTTAAACCCACAAACCTGCATGGCAGTTTTCAGCTTCCACCATCTCTGACAGAAGAATGGAGCCTGCACAGATCTTCAGTATTCTCATGAACATTGCAAACACAGGATTCTGCAAGCACAATTCTCCTGTGTATGCAGACCCATGGGAAGTACTGCAACAACACGAGACATGAGAATTTCTTGGAGGACAGTTGGCTGAGGGACATAGCAAAAAACAATTCAAGATTGTTAGTGGCATTAACAAAGCAGCTACAGATGGTGGAGCAGTGGGTGCAGAACTTTCAGACATGAAAGACCACACTCCTGAATCTGTGTACCCAGCTTGTCCCAGCCTTCCAGAGCAGGGACACCAGAATAAGAGCTGCATTGACAGCGGAGAAGCAAATGGTGATTGGAAGCTTGCAGTGCCAGACTGCTACCAGTCAATGGGGAATCATTTTTTGTTTGGAAAATCTATAGTGGATGGATCTGCAGCAATGGGATTTCCCAGCTCTGGTGAGGCGATAAACTGCATGCACATGAATATTTTGGCAACAGCCTACTTTCCACAGACTTCATCAACAGAAAGGGCTATTTTTCTACAGTTATGCAAGCATTGGTGGATCACTGGGGACGATTCATCAGTATCAGTGTGGCTGGTCAGGGAAGGTGCATGAGGCTCACATCTTTAAGAACACAGGACTGTTCAGAAAGCTGCAAGTAGGGACATTCTTTCCCAACTGGTGGATTACCATTGGCAACATTGAAATGCCAATTGTGATTCTAGGGGACCCAACCTACCCCTTGCTCTCCAGGCTCATAAAACTGAACACTGGTCACCTCAACAGTATGAAGGACAAATTCAACTAGCTGTTCAGCAGGTGCAGAATGACTGAATATGCTATTAGTAGATTGAAGGGACCCTGGTGGTGTTTACTCATCAGATTGAATCTCAGTGAGAAAATTATCCCTATGTTTATGGCTACCTATTGTGTCCTGCATAATATCTGTGAGGCAAAGGGGAAAAAGCTGCTGCCAGGACAGAGGTGGAGCTGCTGTCTGCTGACCTTGAAAAGCCAGACAAAAGGGCCATTACAAGAGCTAAGCATGGAGCTATGCCATTGAGGGAGGCTTTGAAAGAACATTTTAACAGTCAGCCACAGTAGCATTCTGTGCTGGACTGTTCTCTGGGCCTGGAGCTTCGGTGCTGCTAGGAATGTGTAGTGCTTGCTATACCTTTATAAATAGCACTGTGTTTTTCTGAAGCTGAGTTGTATGGTGCTTGCTGTACATTTGCAAGTACTGTGTGCTAGGAGTATGGCTATGCATTCTGCAACATGTGTTGTGAACTAATAAAGATAGTTCTTGTCTCCAAAACCAGAAAATTATTGAGTGGCAAAACCAAGGCAGAAAACCAATGTGAAAGACAGGCACTGCAATACAATCTTTGAGCGTAGATTAACAGAATGTAACTTTAAACTTAGAAAGGCAGCAAACATTTCTGTCCATTTCAGTGCACAAATGTAGTCTGTTGCAGCTACACATACACCAACCATGGTTCTAAGAGGCCAGTGATTGTGAAGCTGTGGGCTTGTCTGCTCTTTCCTTCTCCATGCCATCTGCTATACGAGCCCTCCAAGCCATTTATTTGCAGTCCAGAGGAGGGGACCCAGCTCTCAGGGTGACCATGAGCTGCCCCCGAACAGTGAGCACCGTGACACAGAAGGACACGAAGGCATTGCCCAGGTTCTTTCCCTGGGGGGGTTTCACAAAGGGTCTCGTGTGGTCACGGTGCCGGGACCCGGGGGCCACGCGGTGGGGCGGGCAAATCCCCGGGAAACCTCGCGCTGAACCAGTCCTTGACCCTCCAGCCGGGTATCTTGGGCATGGAGCTTGGACAAGGCCCTCAGCGACGTCATAATCACTCGTGGAACGGGACGGGACGGACGTTCCTATTTATGACGGCGGTGCAAGCGGCCGCTTCCCTAAGCGCTCCCGGCTCCTGGTGGGAGGCCCCGGGGGAGACAATAGACACCAGTTCCGAACCGCAGAGCCCGCTGGGAAGGCAGCTGGTTCCCGCGGCTCCGTTTCTCTCGCGGAGGCCGCACCGGTAGTGAGGTCATAATCGACAGACGGAAGGAAGCGGCGGATTGGCTGAATCCGTTGTTCTTGGCTCCGAGAGCGGTCTCCGCGCGCCCGGTGCAGCGGCTCGAGGCGGGAGCGGGTCAGGGCTCGCCGGTGGTCGGGCTCGCGACGCGCGTGCAGACGGGAAGCCGGTGCAGTAGCGGCCTCAGGCCGGGGCGGGGCCGAGCCGCGAACATGGCGGAGGCCGCGGCCTCGGAGCCGCTGGGCCGGAGCCGGCAGGAGGCGGCCTGGGTGGAGACGCTGCGCGGGGACTGCGAGCCCGAGCACCACTGGCGGCACCGCCGCGAGTTCCTGCTGCGCAACGCGGGGGGCCCGCCGGCCGGGGACAGCGGGGCCCTGCAGCGCCTCGTCTCTCTCTCCATGGTGTGGGCCAACCACGTCTTCCTCGGCTGCCGGTGAGTGGCGTGGGCAGTGGCGGGGGGCTCTGGCAAGGGTCGGGGCGCCCCGTTGGCGGGCTGACGGGCGCGCGTTTCCCTTGGAGACGCGCCGAGCTCGCTCCCGTTGTCTCCCCTGCCCAGGTACCCGCTGTCGGTGATGGAAAAGGTGCTGGAAATGGCTGAAGGCATCAAAGTGACCGATGCGCCCGCCCACACGACGAGAGATGAACTGGTTGCCAAGGTGAAGAAAAGAGGCATATCAAGTAGCAATGGTTAGCAGATCATAGCTGTGACAATTCCTAGGAGTCTAGAAAACGATTTTCAAATGTTGAGAACTTGCCTTTGCCCATCTTTAGTAAAGTAATCGCTGACATAACCAGGATTTAAAACCTCCCAGGATAATGTCAGTGCAAACTCTCATTTGTCTGTCTCAGTGTTCAACTTTAAACATGAGAGTACAGTATCTTGCCATTTTAAGCCATAGTGTTGCTGTTTGACTGCATCAAATGCGTCTGAATTACTGAGTTAAAAGTATTCTTTAAATAGGTTTGTTGCAGGCATTTGTGCTCTGCAATTTGTGCTCTGACCTTTCACCCCATTATATTGTGCTCACAGTAAGCTTTTCTAATAGAAATGACCAAATGTGAAGCATATCCACCTTTATACTCATATCGGCTGTAAATATGTCTAGTTTTAAAGAAATTGCCAAAAGAAAACAGTGCTTTGAAGAGCTTTGTAGTAATAGTAAATAAAATAGAGAGGTGTCCAAATCAAAACCTTGCATTTGAACCCTGGGTCTATGTTTGTATCATAGCACCCAGTTTAGCATATCTCTTTGAGATTGAAATGCCTTGGAATTTCAAGGTAACATTTGGAATCAGATTTCAAACTCTTGAGTTTGTGGGTGTTTAAACTAGTGGTTCTCAACCTTTCCAGACTATTGTACCCCTTTTAGGAGTCTGATTTGTCTTGCATACCCCAAGTTTCACCTCACTTAAAAACTGCTTGCTTACAAAATCAGACATAAAAATACAAAAGTGTCACAGCCACACTATTACTGAAAAATTGCTTGCTTTCTCATTTTGTCTGTATAAAATTTAGTATGTACTGTCTTTTCTAGTTCTTTTTATGTAGCCTGTTGTAAAACTAGGCAAATATATAGACGAGTTGATATACCCCCTGTAAGATTTCTGCCTAGGGGTACGCATACCTCTGCTTGAGAACCACTGGTTTAAATTAATCAGTTTTAGGGCCAGGAGAGATTTTTTTTGGCCTAATCGTTCTAGAAACTTTAAATCAATTGCCAGTAGACAGGGAGCTATGCTTCATAGTTATGGAAGTAAGGACATAACTCTATTTGTGTTTTTTAGAAGGGGTAGAGGAACCTTGCAAGAAACGAGCTGTTGACAAAAGCAGAGATTCTAAGGATGTTGGAAATGATGCTAAGTTGGCAAAGACAGAAGTTTCCAAGGAGACGGAGAGCATGTTGCTGAAGAAAGAGGAAAAAGATGCGGGAAAAGATTCAGAGCGTTCACTGACATCCTCTAGCTCAAACCAAGAAAAGAGCACAGTGCCAGAAACAAAAGCAGCTAATTATGAAACCACTGCCAAGCATAATTCAACTGTAGCATCTGCTTCATCTGGAACGGAATCAAAAATGAATTATCATTCAAGTATGGAAACCAAACACGAAAACAAGAGTACATTGCCTGGTGTTCCGCCGCCAGCGGTGGCGGCTACCAAAAGCAGCTCCCCGGCCAGCGCGCCGGCGGTGGCGGCTACCAAAAGCAGCTCCCCGGCCAGCGCGCCGGCGGTGGCGGCTACCAAAAGCAGCTCCCCGGCCAGCGCGCCGGCGGTGGCGGCTACCAAAAGCAGCTCCCCGGCCAGCGCGCCGGCGGTGGCGGCTACCAAAAGCAGCTCCCCGGCCAGCGCGCCGGCGGTGGCGGCTACCAAAAGCAGCTCCCGGCCAGCGCGCCGGCGGTGGCGGCTACCAAAAGCAGCTCCCCGGCCAGCGCGCCGGCGGTGGCGGCTTCCAAAAGCAGCTCCCCGGCCAGCGCGCCGGCGGTGGCGGCTACCAAAAGCAGCTCCCCGGCCAGCGCGCCGGCGGTGGCGGCTACCAAAAGCAGCTCCCCGGCCAGCGCGCCGGCGGTGGCGGCTTCCAAAAGCAGCTCCCCGGCCAGCGCGGCGGCCGCCAAAATCAGCTCCCCGGCCAGCTCCCCGGCCAGCGCGGCGGCCGCCAAAATCAGCTCCCCGGCCAGCTCCCCGGCCAGCGCGGCGGCCGCCAAAATCAGCTCCCCGGCCAGCGCTCCGCCGGCGGCGGCCGCCAAAATCAGCTCCCCGGCCAGCGCTCCGGCGGCGGCGGCCGCCAAAATCAGCTCCCTGGCCAGCGCTCCGGCGGCGGCGGCCGCCAAAGGCAGCTCCCCGGCCAGCGCTCCGGCGGCGGCGGCCGCCAAAGGCAGCTCCCCGGCCAGCGCTCCGGCGGCGGCGGCCGCCAAAGGCAGCTCCCCGGCCAGCGCTCCGGCGGCGGCGGCCGCCAAAGGCAGCTCCCCGGCCAGCGCTCCGGCGGCGGCGGCCGCCAAAGGCAGCTCCCCGGCCAGCGCTCCGGCGGCGGCGGCCGCCAAAGGCAGCTCCCCGGCCAGCGCTCCGGCGGCGGCGGCCGCCAAAGGCAGCTCCCCGGCCAGCGCGCCGCCGGCGGCGGCGCGCCCGCCAGGCAGCTCCCCGGCCAGCGCTCCGGCGGCGGCGGCCGCCAAAGGCAGCTCCCCGGCCAGCGCGCCGGCGGCGGCGGCCGCCAAAGGCAGCTCCCCGGCCAGCGCGCCGCCGGCGGCGGCGGCGGCCGCCAAAGGCAGCTCCCCGGCCAGCGCGCCAGCGGCGGCGGCGGCGGCCGCCAAAGGCAGCTCCCCGGCCAGCGCGCCGCCGGCCCGGCGGCGGCGGCCGCCAAAGGCAGCTCCCCGGCCAGCGCGCCGCCGGCGGCGGCGGCCGCCAAAGGCAGCTCCCCGGCCAGCGCGCCGCCGGCGGCGGCGGCGGCCGCCAAAGGCAGCTCCCCGGCCAGCGCGCCGCCGGCGGCGGCGGCGGCCGCCAAAGGCAGCTCCCCGGCCAGCGCGCCGCCGGCGGCGGCGGCGGCCGCCAAAGGCAGCTCCCCGGCCAGCGCGCCGCCGGCGGCGGCCGCCAAAGGCAGCTCCCAGGCCAGCGCGCCGCCGCCGCCGGCGGCGGCCGCCAAAGGCAGCTCCCAGGCCAGTGCGCCGGCGGCGGCGGCCGCCAAAGGCAGCTCCCTGGCCAGCGCGGTGGCTTCCAAAAGCAGCTCCCCGGCCAGCGCTCCACCGGTGGCTTCCAAAAGCAGCTCCCAGGCCAGCGCTCCACCGGTGGCTTCCAAAAGCAGCTCCCAGGCCAGCGCTCCACCGGTGGCTTCCAAAAGCAGCTCCCAGGCTAGTGAAAATCCTGCTAAAGTGTCATGGAAGCCATTAACAAGTGAAGATGCAAAAGAAAGACAGCCTTTTTTCAATAGACTGTACAAAGCTGTGGCCTGGAAATTAGTTGCTGTTGGAGGTTTTAGTCCCAACGTGAATCATGCAGAACTTCTAAACTCATCCATTCAGTCTGTGAAAGCTACTTTAGATGTAACTTTTGTTCCACTGAAAGAACTTGCAGACTTGCCTCAAAATAAAAGCTCTCATGAAAATATAGTTTGTGAACTGAGGTGCAAGTCTGTTTATTTGGGTACTGGCTGTGGAAAAAGTAAGGAAAATGCCAAAGCTATAGCTTCCAGGGAAGCTTTGAAATTATTTCTCAAGAAGAAAGTTATTGTAAAGATATGTAAAAGAAAGTACAAAGGACGTGAAATTGAAGATTTGGTACTTCTTGATGAAGAGTCAAAACCCTCAAATTTACCCCCAGCTTTAAGAAATCCTCAAGAGATCCTGTAGGACACATAGTAACTAAGGGTTACTTTTGTACTCTGAAAATGTAGGCTTCCAGAAATTTTGTATTTCTCAGTTTTGCAGAACAATTACATTATTGTTCTTTTCACGCGGTAGCAATTGTAAATATCTTCTTATAGATCACAAGAAGTGTGCATTTAAAGGTATGCCTTAATATAGAGCACACTGGCGTGCTGTTTTATTTGCTAAATAGTCTACCTAAGTCTTCTATTTTTAATTAAAAGATTAAGGTACAATTTGATTAAAGTCTAATAATTTTGTAATTCTTACGATTTGGTGGTAGTGTGCTCAGTTGTCTACCATGTCTTTTTAGCTGCATAGGAATATATATGGGACCATAGTACTTGAATGGTTGAAAGTTGTTACATTTCAAGGAAAAGTTTATCTGTTTGAAATTTGTTGCCCATAATGTTCACTATTCCTGTTGAAAAGAGAGAAAATAGTTGGCTGACTATTTTTATGAAAAGTTGTAACATTTTAAAATTAATCCTAAAATAATATGTGATCCTGTTTAACATTATTACAATAGCAAATTGTCAGTAAACAATCAGGGTGATTTAAACCACCAAAACTCTTTAAGCAAATTAAACTTACCTTTTGTGAAATACCGTTTACACTTCGTTTTTCAGATAAATGTGGATTTCTATATAAGCATATTTTATGACTGCTACTATTAAAAACAATAAACTTCTGGGATGTCCTCACTTTTAATATTTTGTTTTAGCTATTAAATGCTTTGAAAACTGACAATTTTGATAAATGTTAGTAACATCTCTTTTGAAAAAAAATCTTAGACATTAAACTGGGTCAGGAGCATCTGTGAAAATGATCAACAGAGCAGTACTTTTTTTTATATAAAAAGAAAAATGTACACTGTCTTCAGTGTGGATGGGTTTCAAGGTGTAGTTACTGGTGGTTCTTATTGTTTTATTAAGATGCACAAGAGATACTAATGTAAAACTAGAATAACAATATTTTCCAATAAATAATGGAATGTATACTGTTCCCACTCTGCTATCCTCAATTAAATGTGCGGGCAGAGGAAAATGCAGGTGCTTCTGTTGTGTTGAGTGTGTCTTTTGAAACGAGTTTACACATATTTTGAGCCTTATTTTACTCTGTTTACACACTCAGTACTCACAGTGATATCTAGAAGTTTCATACAAAGATCATGGGAAACCATGGCCCTTTAGGTGCAGCAGTCTGGAAAGAATTATATAAATGTGAGGTATAAAAAACTGGATTATAAAAGTAATGGCTGAGAGCATGCTGATCATAGTGTTTTTTCAATGCAGTGAGAGGAGTTTCCCAAATTTAAAATAATGGTAGTTAGGCACTTTTTCTATGTAAAAATGGTGCGATCTTACTCAACAGATCTGTTCTATATTGTCAACATCAAATTCTACAACTGTTAGCACTGTAGAACTAATAAAAGTTGATGAATAGTCTGCATGGTTCTCTTCAGTCCTGTGAATTGACAAAACTGAACTACTTTCAGATTCCTGAATCTCTGATGGTATCATAGAAGGCAGAATACAGCTTGATGGTGAGTTTGCCGCACCAACAGTTGGAAAAACAACTTGTCATTAGATAAAATTTGATAGGTAAGAAAATGTATTGGATGGTTGGTGTAGTGGTTAGGGTACTAGCTTAGTCTACTGGAGACTGGGTTCATTTTCCTGCTCTGCCACGGGCTTGGTGTGTGACCTTGGACAAAGCAGATTTCTAAATACCTTTTGAAGATCTGGATCTTAGTCTCTGTCTCAGTTTCCCATTTGTAAAATGGGGATAATAGTATTTCCCTACTTCAGGGAGTTGTTGTGAGGATAAATACATTAAAGACTGTAAAGCACTCAGATTCCATGGTAACATCTTAAAAGTACCTAAGCTCTAGACACTTGATTGCAATACGTTAAAGTGATGATTCTACAGCTGTTTTGCATAATGAACTAATTGGGGGTAAGGTATGTAGCTTTTGATTTCAACAAGAGTTGTGTGTGCAGTGAAGCTGAAGAAGTGGCCCCAACAAACAAGTGCTTGAATAAGTATTAACCAAAGCAACAATTTCACTCCACTTTTTAAAAGGTTGTGGGGGGTCAGTCAGAATTTCTCCTAACTCGTCATGGAAGGAAATGGTGTTTACTGAACACGTCACAGCACTGAGTCAGAAAGTTGTATTTCATTTCCTGCTGTTCTGATGCCTTTGTAAACTCCAGGTCTCCCAGTTTCCTGATCTGCAACAGATAATAAGGGTATTGAGCCTTAATTGTTAAGCCCTGTGCAATTCGTAAATAAAAACATACAGGACATGAATGATTAATAAAAAAAAAAAACCTTCTATAACCATGGAGTGTATAAAATAGGTGGAGAATCACAAAGTAAAGATCTGTGACTTGTGTGCAGAAATGCGGGAAAGAATATAGTGGGTTAGTTATATTGCTTTAAGTTAAACTAAATCAAATCAAGGACGCTAATTCAAAATAAGTGTCTACGAGGGAGTTCATACT